AAATTTTTTTTACTTTTAAATGACCCTAACTGTCCATAAATTAAATGTACATTTTGCTTTACTGTATATATATATATATATATATATAGATATATATATATATATATATATAAAATCATGTACAAGCTGTTCAGCCATTGGTCAAAAATATTTGATACCCCCAAATAAAAAGTTCTGGAACCATATTTTCTAAATGATTAAAATAGCAAAGAAACAAAACAAAGAAAAAAAAAAAAAGTAAAATTGTTCTGTTTAATTAATTGTTACTTTTACATCCCCCAGTGTGAACCTTTATCCAGACAAAGACAAGTCTAAAGTGTATATGAATGTATTTGCTTTTAGTATGATCACAAGGTAATTTCTCATAATTTTTCCCAAAGATGTTTGAAGCCCGGTTTAAAATGCACATTTTTTAGAATTATGGAAATTTCTCTTACTCTACATCGGAGTCATTAGAGTTCAAACTATAAGGCTTAAAGCCTTCTATCACGAACAGAGAATGAATCATAATTAGACAATGATTAGCTGGGTATCTTACAAGCAAAACAACACATTTATTTCTATGTTCTGCACTGCATTCTAGTAAAGCACACTGACCTCATTTCCTTGCTTTAAAAAAAATATTGCGTCCCCTATTATCAATCAAATAACTATGGAAAGAAAAACAATGGATATTTTCAAACGGGGTTAGTTCATTGAGTTCATATGAGACAGGAAATGTAACTGGAAATACTTCTGGGGCTTCTAAGACTTGCAGGGTTTGGGGCTGCTTCCCGTCTTTTATTGTATTTTTTATTAAAATCCTCCAGTTTATACAGTTCCCTGCTGCTGTTTGAGATATAGATGTTTTTTTTTTCTGAAACCTGATATTGGTGGTACGAACCAGGGTGAAGAAAAACAACACAAAACAAACCTGATAATGCTGTCTACGGTGAGGGGGAGAAAGAGAAACAAGTCAAGATTCAAGAAAAAAATGTGGTCAGAAATAGAGAGCGCTGATGTACCACTGATCTGGAGTCGGATTCACTGGTGTGTTTTTGGAGGATACGGTGTCAGAAATCTGACCTCCTGGCTGCTGCTGCTGATGCGGCTTACGGGGCCTCTAATCTAAGCATGAGATGTGCTGTGGCTATAGACTCTAAAAGGGATCAGGGGATGTAGCCAGGCTGTAAGCTTAAGGAAGAAAATACAGCTAGATCCCAGCTGCCTCCGCCTCGTTCCTGCTTTTCCTCCTCTCCTCTATCCTAAAAAAGCCAATGCTGGCAATCCACCAATCAGCTGGAACCAATTTCTGACTTAACAATGTTGAGAGCTTCTCCAGACCTTTACAATGAGGAGTTTGCATGCTATAGGGGTTTACACACTCCCAGAAGAAACTGAAGAGAGAAGAAACCCCTCCTCTATTTCGGCGGAATGAAGAGTGGGTTTGCAAGAGGCCAACATTCCTCACTGCCCCAAAAATAGATCATGAAACTGGAAACCTACTACATTAGCTGGGGCAACACACAGTCTGTTCAAACAAAGGGGCAGAAGTCAAAGGGAGACACTAGGATGCTGCTGTGTATTGTTTTTAAAAATTAGCTTTTTGATAGTTTTTCTACTCTTAAAAAAAGTCTGATTAACTAATAATCTTTCTCAAACTTGTCAAGTTGCAGATGGATTAGATGCACAAAAGACAAACAGAGTTAACAACTGTTCATCTTTTAATAATCATTTTTTGGCATCCTATTATTTTTTAATCATGACAAAGTTACTACAGGCTGTTATTGTAACATAACCTACAGGAGTCTAACAAACTATCACAAAATGTACCCATTTGTTGAGCTTTTTCTACTGATAATGATCCTTTTTTTATGCATTATTAATGTTTTTTTAAAAGCTTAGTTAGTTCCAGTTAGTTTCAACAGCCAATGAAACAACCCACCTTGTGAGTCAGAGCAAGCTCGTGATTTGATCACTGCACTCGATGTAACAGATAGCTTATTATTCACTGGTATGAGGTAATAGCGTGGGTAAAAAGAAGTACTGAACTAATCAACGTTTTCCTCATTAAATACGTATTTCTGTGAGGAAAAACACAGGTAACATAAACAGGCAGGGAAATTAAAACAAATTAGCCCATAAATCAATGTTTAATGAAGCGGTCTGGTAAAGGGAACAAGAACTACATGGAGAAAAAGAGGTGAAGCCAAGAAACTGTCTGATATATTATCAACAGTATTTAGAAAGCATTCCTGCTGCAGTTTAATATCAATTGGTAGCCAATAAAACAACGATTTTAAAGTCCATGCATTGCAGAAAGTGGTAAACTGGTAAAAGCAGAGAATGAGGATGCAACAGCTATAGCTGCACTTCTAAACCTAACAATTTTCCAGCAAGCACATCTACATCCATAATCCAGAACCATAAAACTCCTAATTTCCCCATAACTTTGTTTGTGGGCTATAATGTCTTTATATGTGTGGATTATATGGATGGTTTTCGACATATCAGTAGAAACGTTAAAAAATACAGCTTCTAAGAAAAATGTTTATATTTTTAAGTAGCTTTTTTACCAGCTGTATATGGTAAAAGATTATAACTTAATGTTTTAAAACTTTTTATGACTTCAGCATTGAACAGGATACAGTAGAAACAACTGATTTAGAAAGAATAAGAAAAGAAGGAAGAGAAGGATTTCATATCTGTAGATTTTAACGAATAGCAGCAAAGGTTCGGGAATAATAGAGCTCTAATAATAATAGTAATAATAATAACATAGAGCTGTTCTGAGTAAATAAAATCTAAGTCTAAGGAATAAGGGATGAAGTTTCAAAAGCATCAGAGATGCGAATGGAGATTTGTCGAGGAAGCATTTTCCTTGTGTCTTCAATAAGTTCCAGATCTATTAGGTGCCTCTTCATGGACGGTTAGCTTACAGTTGTCTAATTTCAACTTCACAAAGATCCAACTACATTTTCAATTCCAAAATTTTTAGGGTTTCTAAAAAAATAAACAATTACAAAGAATCAACTGGAATCAAAGTTATCCCTGATAACAATAATACAAAATATCTGAGAGAGTTTCTGGGGTAAATAATAGATGGAAGATGAACAGAATCTCTATGATCAACTAATGCCGGGTATACAGTGTACGAGTTCTTGCCCTTTTCAGGCCGATTCTCCAATTGTGCGAGAATCTTTATGGATCGGGCCATGTTTCTGCCTCATCGTGCATTCTCTAGTATACCTACAGGGGTTAATGAGGGCCGATTAGCCTCGTACAACCGCCTCCGGATCAGGAATCTTAAGGTCGGGAGAAAATCAAACATGTTAGATATTCAGTCTGCTTTCGTTAAATCCTGCTGTTAAAGCAGAGCTACGAGGGTCAAGTCGATTTACCAGAACCTAGACCACTACACATGTGCAAACAAGGGAATTAATACTTCTTCCAGATTAACAAATCTGACCAGCACCATCTCTCGGTGCTGACTCCAACATGTGGTTTTTTGGATGTAGAGCGTGAGCAGTTAGATCGCATCAGAGCGCCATTCTGTACAGTTTACGAACATACTGTACATAATGAGCTGTGATCTATTAAACCCTGCGGTTTCATCATACAGTTTGAGCTGGAGATGAGTACAATGCTCGAAAATATCATACAACTTAGGCCTGGCTTAACTAATGAGGAAGTTGGAACTGAGGAAGGGAGACCACATGACATCAGCAAATTTATGTTAATGTATTTAAAGGTTGCTATTTTGCAAAGTAATTTTAAATTAGTATTAGAAAAATTCCAGCTGAAATACATTAGTTCAAAATAGAGTAAACGACAATGATAGTGGATATGATTTTAATAGGACTTGTGATTATTTAGATCTATCTATGTAGATAAGCGGCTGACTGGCTCAGGCTAGCTCATCTGTTAAGTCACATGACTTACACACAGGAGGCCTCGTTTGAATCCCCACTGGGACAATAAGCTACCAGTGTGGGTCCTTAGGCAAGATCCTTCACTCTAGTGCCTACCTCATTTTTAAGTCGCTTTGGATAAAAGCGTCTGCTAAATGCAGACCTTGCATAAACATGTAGATAGATCTACAGTAAATATCTATCTACAGTATGTATCTACAGTCAATAAAATAACTTAAACATTTAAAAAGTGACTTCTGGATTGTGACTAATGTTTGACTGAAACTATTTAGAATTTGTTCAATGACTTTACAGCCTTAACACCTCTATGTACAACCTTTCATTCAGCATTGAGACATACAACATAATAGTGTACATTTTTGGCACAGAGAGCTGGATTGCATTGTACTTGGATAATTAGCCAATACTAATGTCCAGACTGTTGTTGTATATTACTTGCAGTATAAGTGCTACTGTAAGAAATATTCTCTATATTGTGGAGCTGTAACAACAATCCAGTAACCATTGAAGCTAAAAGAAAGCTGCTGACAAGGAAAGCCAATAGTTGTGACAGTAGTGACAATGTAGAAGTACAGGGTGGGTGCTAGATAGTTCTATTGAGTTGTATAGATCAGAGGAAAAGGAGATGTGAGAAGCTTTTAAAAACAGAGTTTTTTTGTTTTTTTTTCTATTACATGTTGAAACATGTCTGCGTTATATTCAGGCTATTAGAGAGAGTGTCAGCCAATAAAGGTGAATTTTTAACAGTGAATCTGTTTGTCTGCTTTAACATTCCCTCTCTGTCCTGAAACATCTTGGAGTATATAATAGCAGCCTTTTGGAAGTCCAAACATTAATCCCGAAAGCTTTATGCTCCATGTTTTACATGTGTTCCTTTTCCAACAAAGCTGATTTAAATATCTGAATTACCTCATTTTGGTTAAATAGCTTGGAAATAATTTCTGAAGGAGCCCATCAGTGACCCGTTCCTTTGGGTCAGGTAAGTTAAAAAGGGGAAACATCTAAAATAATCAAGACATCGACCCTTAGGGACGCAATCTGGTCACCAATGATCATTTTGCTAATTTTACTAATGCTAGCAATGCAGTGAGGAATGCTGACATAAATGTACAATATTCTTAAAAATATAGTTACTTCTGAAGTTACTTAAATGTGAGATTTACTCCTATTAATAAAAACATTATCAGACATCAGGAAGGCCAAAAAATGTTTTCAAACATTGCACTGTCTATTATTTCTTCAAAAATCTAAATCTACTAAAATCTTTGACAACAAAGTTTGACCAAAAATAAAACAAGGAAGTTAATTTAGATGAATGCTTCTACAGGGTATTATGCATACTCTGTATAGTAGTATTAATAAAATAATAAGGCCATCTCAAAGTTACTCACTTCTTGCAGTTTGTGTATTCAGAGCAGCGGCTGAGTGGAACCCGTATCACGCAGCTGGAGAACGCCACGAAAAGAGCGTGGTGATCCCGGTCCAACTCCAGACCCAGAACCCTCCTGTCCTCTCCTTGCACATTGCACCTAAGAACAAGAATCAACGAAAAAAGTCTCAATCTGGCGTTTAGTACACATCCTCTGTATTATACAGCACATCAAAAGTCAATTTAATTTCATGTTGATCAGGATTTCAAGCTGTGACAAAAGATGAGGCAGGAATAAAACCTCCAGCTGTACAAGATGATGCAAAGTGTAACAACAGACTGAGGAGTGAGTGGGACGGACGGATCAAAGCAGGACAAGAAGGATGAAAAACAGAGAAAAGAAAAAAAACTAAATCTATGAACAAATACAGTTGAAATAAAGGAAATTACTGAGAAAACATTGCTCAACACCAATGATAACAAGGATGTGTTCTCTGACTTGTTTGGGTTGTAGACGTCGATGTCTTCGAGGAGATGGGTGTTGAAGGAAGCGTTGGCTCCCTCTGAGCTGGCCAGGATCTTGAGGACGTGACCGTTATCCGAGCCCAGGAACACCACCGTGTAGTTCTTAAAGGGTCCAGCCGATGTATCGACAGCTATCTGGGTCAACTTAAACCTTAAACGAAAAAGAAAAAACAACAACACAAAACTATTAATAGTGTTTGCTGTGAAAATGTTGGTTTTCAGCGGTAAACAAAACCAAGAGTGGGCGACCACTGAGCTCATTGTGTAATTCCTCAGTGTGCAATCAATCAATTCATCTGCCAACCCACCATCCCCTTCTTCCATCGCCTACTCCCTTTAATCCCTTCATCCTATTAATGCATCAATCCGTCCACCCACAGCCATTGAATCAATGTATCTTTCATGCTGTTCAGCCACTTTTCCACAGTCTGTTTCTCAGCCCTAGATTTCAACTTTCTCCTTTGTTGTTTTACATTCATGAGGTTGTCTGGTGACTGCTGCTTCATTTCAGCAACACTCTGCTTCATATTCAAGACGTTCCTCGTGGTTCCACCTGGGATCTGACCGGTATCTCCACAGCCGTCTACTGCTGGCTCCACCGGAGCTGCTGAGACTTGCAGGCTTTGAAGGGCACCTTGAGTCCAACGCTTGCTGAGAGATGCATAAGCTCTACTAATTCATTTTGTACGACTGCAATTTGACTCTAAAGCATGAGGATTTATACAAACAAACCTCGACAAATAATGTTTTTGGCAACCCAATTCTTCCGGATCCTTCCTCTGAGGACAGTTTCCGTGCCCTCATTTGTCCCAGCGACCCCCCAGATGGTCCTGCATAGGCTGCTGTGTTTACCCACACACACACACTTGACTGGCATGCCCCTGTAAGAATTCGGCAGAACAGCGTGATGCGTTTTTGGTGGGATTTCATTTATCTAGCAGGTCCCAGGGGAACAGCACGGCAGATGTGATGTTTTTGGCGCCAGATGTGAAGCGGTACACGTTTCCCCAGCGTGGAACCACGGCAGTGTCTGGCTGGCTGTCAGCCTGGCTCTGCTTCAGGAAGCACAGAGGCAGCCGCTGTGTGTGTGTGTGTGTGTGTTGGTGTTTAAAGGCTGTATCTGATGTGTGAACACCCCCGTCTGAGGCCTATGCACTGCTGAATGAAACACTTGTGGCACTTCATGATTCCACGTCCACCATATCGTCGTCTGCCATCAGCGCACTCCCAATGTCACAACAAGCAAAAGGCCCCCCCCACACAGCCCCCCGGCTCCCTGCCTGCGACGGAGCGCCTGCAGGTCAGGGCTGCACTCGAAGAAGACCCCATCTCTGTGAGTCTCGCTTTTGATGTGGGCCGAGATCGACCGCTGAGTAAATTCAATGGGCTTTAATGAGGTACAAGGTTGAGTGTTCCACCTGAGCTCACTCGTCTATACCAATCACAGTCCTGCGTGTGAAAACACTGCTGGTGCTGTAGATCATGTTGTTCCAGAGAATACATGCTTATAGCTCATTAAAGAAATGACCACTGCTTCATAACCCTCAAACTCTGAACAGGAATACACCAGTTAATTGGTCTATTTTCCTCTGATTTGATTCAGAAATTGAGGCCTGCACACAGTACACTGTGTACACTATAAACAGCTGCAAAATAAAGTTTGAGAGGACCCAGGGAGCAACATTAACTTCTGAAAGGATTAGCAGGGTGTTCAGTAGATAATCTGTTCATAACTAAGATTATTTTGTAGTTTAGTAAAGGTTAGTATTTTAAAAGAAATCAATGCAAAAATGGTGTTTAAAATAGTTTCTGTGCTATATTGCAGCTTTTGCTTGGTGTATGATGAAAAATAGCTAGTATATCTAGTTTAAATACCCTTAAGATGCACATCTTAAAAAAGGAGGTATTCTATTTTTCTCTCCTTTTTCTGCACAGAAACTTCAACACCTCCAAAGCTGAAACATTTATGACAGATAAAGTGCCTATTTGTGACCAAAATTCATTGTAGGAAAAAAATAGTTTAATGCAAGGAATCTCTGTTCAAGTTTTATGGGATGCAATATATATGGTCCAACATTAAGAAGCACAGAGTGGACTGAAAAATCATAGAAGGGATGGACATGTTGATTAGATGATTTCTTATTAGACTGTATAAACAATTTGACTTTAAAATCATAATTAAAGGCCTTAAATGGTTCAATAATATACATGATAGATGTAAATGTTAACATTTTAAACATGCCTCAACTCTCTTCAACCAGCAATTGTAATCCTATATTGCTAGTATTGATCCCCCCATCTTTCTTTGCATAAGCGCTTTGAATTTTGGCAGTTAAAACAAGGATTTGTAGTAGGCAAACCCTCTTCAGTGACCCCAGGAGATGGAGTTTAAATGTAGGTTCCAGCTCAGCTACACTATGTCAACATTTTGATTTTATTCAGGAAAGTCTTCTTTTTTGTCTACATTTTTTAAAGGGATCATAGAATGCAAAACTGAGTTTATATTGTCATAGATGAACGATAGTTCAGTGGGTGAAATGGATGTACAGAGAATTTCAAACCCCATCAACACCTCCTTTCTCTGCAAATCTCAGTATTCTAAACTTCCACGATAAAATGGGAGAATCCAAACAAAGCACCAAATTGACATAAACTCGGGGATGTTGCCTTATCTGGTTCTGGCCTGTACTTTAGTCACGCCCCGAAATTGACGTAAAGACCAGCCGCCTGGTTCACTTGCCCAAGGAAGGGGGGTATGAAGTGTTGACTGCTGGGCCGCTGACTGGACCGGACCTCAGTAGAGAGCCATGATCCGCCCGTCCTCAGCGGGAGGAGGGTGGCTAGGGGGCCGGTAAGGCAGGCGGGGCGAAGCACTGGGCCGCCTGTTTCCAGGCAACCGTCACCTGGTTGGGTACAGTCGCTCTGTCCCCCGCTGGCTCCCTGCCCCCGTCCGCCGGGGTTCCCGGACCAGCCCTGGAGCCGACGGTTCGGTTCGAGTGCCCGGTGTGTCTCGACTACGTGCTGCACTCTAGTCGACCAAAATCCCAGACGATTTTGAAATTCCACCAGGACATTTTTTTTAAGGTATGATTAGTAGGACATGTCCAGGAAAAAGAGGACATCTGGTGATCCTACCATATCAACAATTTGATGTTTCAGTGAGTGAGTGCTTGTTGCTTTGATGCGTCTTTGCACAGCAGCTTCGCTAGTTGTAAACCAACCAATCAGCACACAGCTCATCTAAATATTCATGAGCATACCACAAAAGGAAGATAACCTGGGATTTCATTCTAGGGCTTTTAACCACGCTTGCATTAGGGCTCATAGAACAGCAAATTTTCACAGACCTTAAGGACCAGCACCAAATACCCTGTATAATCATTCTATGACCACTATAAAAACTGAAAAGTAAGCCCAGAGCATGATGCAGCCACCACTATGTTTTATTGTGATTGCTTGGTTCTTTCCTATTTTATTTTTACAGTTTTTAAATTTATCTTCCTTTTGCAAATCATACATATATCAATTGTAGCAAATAAAGATCAATTCTTAGCCTTATGACAGACAGGTTCACTTTATTTAAATTAATCAGAATAACTATAATTTATGTCAGATGTGCGCTCCAGATGAAACAGTGCTGAAATATAATTTTGTTGCTTTAGAATCATGTAAGGCTTTGGTTCTGCATGCTTATGCAACCTGATAACTTGCAATTTTAAGGCATTACCCTTCGTCTTCTAATAGGTTTTGCGTCAATTCTACAGAAAAATAAAATAAACATAAGGGTTGGCAAAAATTTCTAAAGGGTTTGCCATGCGTTATTTTTGCCATATCTAAAATAGTTTACAGGGGCGTGAATGATACGCTTTTTATATCAACTTTATGTTAACACGGTTAAGTACAGTATGAGCAGGCTGATAACAGAACATGTTAGTAGTGATCATCTTTTTTTTCTTTTCCCCTAATTCAGAAACACTGTCTTTAGTTTCCGTCTGAAGTTCAGTAATTTGGGTAAAGCATCTACCTGCTGGTGGTGCGGGTAAAGAAGGGTCTGTCATTGACTGAGGGGACAGACTCGTCCATAAGCGGATAAGACTTGATGAAAGTCAGGGTCTCGTCTGGGAAGGTGGTGGAGGACTTGAAGGTGGCCGCAGAGCCTTCGCCGGCACAGCTGCCTGGCCTGTGCGATAACAGTAAAAAAGAGGAGGAAAAACAAGACATAAATCCCGTTCAACAAGCACAGATGCAAAAACACTTGCAAGCCATTTGTTTTTCCTAGACGAGCAGGAGGGAAGAACAGGTGCTTTATGTGTCTGTTTTGTTTTATTATTTTATATTTTCTACAGACGTCTGAGCAGAATAATAATAGCAGCTGCAAAATCTGTTTTGTCAAAGACACAAAGACATGCTGTAGGAAAGTGACAGTTTGCAGTTTAAAAGACGCATCTCTCACCTCGGCTTTGGTACTTGTTCTTCCAGAACAGGTGTCCATGCTGACTCACTGTTTCTCTGCTCCTTAAATTTCCCATTAAAGGCCTTCTCTATGTCGTCCATATAAAAACCGCACACTGCTGAGCCGGTGATGCTGTTCAATGAACCCCAAAATAAGGAGATATTGTAATGAACAAAGTGAAGGTCTGAAGACAGTCAACTTGTTAGTAATTTTAAAAACACATTTAAAGCTAATGTGTTATGTGGAGCCTTAATCTAAAAAAACCTCTGAACATATCAGTTGACAATATCTGGTATAGTCTGACTAAATGCTGCTAAAGAGCTAAAACCATGCTTGGAGAGAGCTCAGGGTTTAGAAATGTAGCAAATTTTAATCAGTCCTTTCATCTGCATGCTAAGGGTTGATTTTTGATCAAAACTTGTATTGATGGGTTCAAAGGTTAAAACTGGGCCTGATGATCCAAAAATCTGTCTAAAATATAGCAACCTCCAATAGTCATTCATTGTGGGAAAAAAAATCCTTTTGCAAGAAAACATAAATAATTGTTAATAAAAAAATCTATATGCTAATGATAGCACTACTGTTACTCAAAAAATGTGTTTCAAGGATTTTTGTCATTCATACAATTCTCTTCAGCATTACAAATGACTTTTATTCATACTTTTAGCACTAATTTGTTCAGAAAGTGATTTTTTTTAATTTTTGTTATTTGAGTGATTTGTCCTTTTTAAAATTTATGTTAAAGATCAGGTAAGCTGCTGAGCCAAAGGCAAATTTCTACTTTAGTATCTTAATCTATTGACTTTTTAAAATACTTCATCGGTATAATAATCCAAATCATATTTCTGAAGCATAAACAAACAAAGCATCAATGTTCAACACAATAAGAGTTCATCAGAGATTAAAAGAGAGCTCCAAACCTGCCAAATGTTAATGGAAAGCGTTTGCTTACTAAAATAATGGCGGCAGGTAAAAAAAAAATAAAAGTTAGTCCTTATATGGAAATTCCCCCTATTAGGATCCAGTGGATGCTTTAAAGACCAACACATTTAAACTGAGTTGCATGATATAGAAACGGCTTCTGCAATAGGCTTTAATGTAAAGAAATATTTTAGCTTTAGTCTTTAAATGTCTTAATTTAACCATTCAGACAAGAAAAACACAAAACAACCAAAGCTGTTTGCATAACTGATTGCAGTATAGGGAGGTCTCTTGTGCAGGACAGGATCAGATGTGCGTAAATCAAGGAACTGAAAGGAGATGATGAACAAAAGACATCCTTAAATAATAACTAGAGAAAATTAAATTTAAAAGAATGCCTCTGTGAAGCATCTCTGGATATTGAGACCAATTTCTCCCCAGCATAGAACCTTTGTTAAACATTCGCCTGATCATACCACAACTGTATTTACCGTATATCAGCTCATGACCTTGAATCTAAAAATGATTTGGGTATTTGCTTGACAGAGTCCAATCCAGATAATCTGTCTCATCTTCACCTGTTTGCCTGTGTGGTGAAAACTCCAAGGACAGCAGGCCGGTGGTTTATCTGGAGGACATTGGTCAGTGACTGCAGAACATCGAAGTAAAAGAAAGAGTCTCCCGGTACAGAGCAGTTCAGCCGGGCTTTCAGGAAAGATGTCCAGTAGCGTTCCAGGACCCTCGGGGAACCCCCGTTGTCATTCTTACAAACTCGGGCAACCCTGGAGAAAACAACCTGAGGAGGCAGGAGAGGGAAAAATCCTTTACCTTTAACACCAGGCAGCGCCAACAGAAAACTACAGTCAAGAATGTGGTTTGCATGACAAGCGAGCCCTTTGTTGGAGTTTATTCTGCAAAGAATGAAAGCTGTTGATCCCCCTCACCTTGCCGAGGGTGGTGTACTCCACTGCAATCTCGCTGAAGAAAAAGTACACGTAGTTCCCATATTCAATAGCGTGGAGAAAATGGGGTTCTAAAGATGGAGAAAACGGAATTTCATAAACCCACTCTGAGTTACAGCTTATTTCTAATACAGCTCAGCTTCTTGAGATTTGGTAAACACAGGCCTCAAAGAAATTATCGTCTCCTCAATGTGAAATTGCAAATTTGCATATTGGGTAAGAGACCAAAAAAAAGAAACAGTCAAAAGAAACCTATTGTACTAAAGTATTAGAGGTGGACCAGAATCGATGCTGTTTCATTTTCATAAAAAAAAACAGAAATATGGCACAGAACTTTCTCACATCTTAACTAATACTTTATAACTTCACCAAATAAATGATTTTCATTTAATATAGTTTTATATATTTTTTTCATTTGTTACAATTTTTTAAGTCTGTTAACCCGGAATCAGAAAAACAAGATGAATTATTTTCAGGTCTTCAAGGACAAATTCTTTAGTGGTGGTAAAGCTAGAGCCTCTGACCTCCTGAACAATCTAATAAGAAAATGCACAAAGCATCTGTTTGAGGCATCATTCAAACAAAGCTGCTGCTTCTCTTAGCCATGAATCTATACAACATCAGAGAAAACTTAATGATATTTTTCAGCACAGACAGAAGGGAAAAATATCTATAGACTGATTGCTTGTTAGGGACATTCAAGATAATGATACATGAAGTCCCAGGCTTGCAAAAGGCAATATAAGTTATTTTAATTATCAGTTCCTAGTCATTTATATTCTACCATGCAGTTCTTCTAGCCTGTGTTTTTAGATAGAAATAATGATTCTTTAATGCAGAGCTTCATTACTGGTGGGGAAAAACTGTTCTAGTAATTTTCGATCTATAAATCAACAATCTGAATAAAAGAGTTCTTTCTGACTGGACGGGTGATTGTATTCAGATAAAACAATATAAGACGGTAAAAGCTTTCATTTATATTTTCCTAATGAGATTTCAATATAAAGTGTGCAGATCAGTCGTATCATCCAGACTGGATGCTATTTTAGTAATTAAAATGTACATTAGGTCTCCTTTTAGAAAAAAAAAAGCAGCATACTCTAAATTCTGTAAATTTTTCTTTATTCAAGCGGACAGTTTTTTCAAGCTCCTAATGGGCTCCGAATATTACAGGAGAGCAAATGAAAGAGTAGAGAATTAATCAGCAATCATGAAAATAATATCCAGACATCTAATCAAAGGACTCTCATTTTTCTAAAAACTTCTCAAGCCTGGTTCTACAAAACAGATTAATGAGCAGCAAAAAAACTCTGTCAGTCCAGAAAATCAATTACCGATTTGGACTGATAATGTTGACGAATGGAACAAGTATAATGCGACCAGGTCATTTCACATCAGCCTAAAAGCACATTTGGATGATTACCTCTGAGCCACTTGGAGTCATACTTGACTGTACGCAGAACAGGACTGCTTTCTCCCAGACTTCTATAAATGACAGCATCGCTCGCCAAGAAGTCAGTCATTGTTGCAGAGTAGAAGTCACCACCTGAAGGACACAGAAAAAAAGGCAGACTGAGATACATCGTCAGGATACACAATTACAAATGGAAACTCTGTTCTCTTTAAATGTGTATTTAGGTGTTTTTTAAAAGAACTCTGAGTGGAACAGATGTAGGCAAACATGCCACTCTGAATAGCAGAAGTGGAAACCAGGCAGCTTTGGAGAGCTGCTTTGGCCCTGGCTTCTTTTCAGAGTTTGACCTCAGCATGTTCAGGGTGTATCAGCTTTCTTCCTGCTACCATTAGCAAAGAAACTCTAAATCAAACCACAAATCACAATCAGTAGGAGGAAACCATAAATCATAACTAATAAAGAGCCAAATATAAAAACATAGATGTCAGCCTCAGCCATACAAACCTGCAGTGAAATAATCTACCAGTTTTAGTGAACACGAACTTTTAAATTTATTTCCATCTTTCCTATTATGTCTTTAGACATAAGGTTACACAATAGGTTACACAGTAGTTGTGACGAGATTTTAGAGATCCCATATCATGCAAATTTCACATTATAGACATTTTGTAAGTCACGTGTCCTAAAGCTTGTGTATGACATTCATAAAAAAAAAAGACAAAAAACATTTCACCTCTCTCACTGCCTTTCTCCACCTCTTAGCTAGTGTAATGTGTGCTCAAAATGCAGTGTTTGACCACAATTCCCCTTGTGATGTCATAAGGGGAAATAAGCTGTGCAGAGAGGTCTGTAGCAGTCCATCGGCCAAGCTACGGCCTTCATCTAATGTATTATTTGAGGCTCACAGGCTATCTTTACAAACTGACTGTTTTTTATGGTTCCGGGTTTTTGGGTCAAAGCCTTCAGGAGGGAAGGGCTTGGAAAGTCAAAACAGCTCATCTAGAGGAGGACTGAAAGCGGAAATTTTTGGTAAAGGCTTTCTGCCTAATCTGAAAGGAATTTTCCTGCACAAATAGCAAAAACATGCTCTGGGGGCCTCATTGTTAATATGTTTGTATTTTCAAAAGTAGTATAACATAAAACCTTTAAGATTTAGAAGAAATCAGTCTTGCTTTGCCTAATCCACTTACTATACTGTTAATCAATCAAAATCTTTACTAATAAAAACACAAAAAAAGAGAAAGGAACAACCTACCTCTGTCCAGAAACAAATGATGAAAAAGATCCCCTTAATAAACTCTTTCACTTAAATGTTAAATAATGTTAACCAATGGAATCATTTTAACCCATTTTTAGCCAAAAGGTGTCAACCTTTAGTTTGCACGCTGTTTGTAGCGTTCAGTTCAGTGCTGAACTTAAGTGTGAGGTCATGTTTCTTTTTAAAGAAATATAAAACGTATTTGAACCCATTTTTCTCATAATCTTACAAAGCTTTGGTCAAATATAAACTGTAGTTTGAACTTTGAAAAAAACTAAAACACAAGCCTTTAAACTGGCTTACATCAGCAATAAAATTAAATCTGAACCATAATATTTAACACTGATTTCAGATCATCAAAAAATATAAATAACAAAATAATTTGATATTGCGGAAAACAAAAAAAAAAATGGCACTCTTATTTTTCTTAGAAATAATGTGAGATTCCTATTTGGTTTTACATTAAACATCTATTAAGTATGTAACGTTCTGTATGGTCCAGAAGGGAAGCAGCCTTATATCCATAGTCTGAAATCTGTGAGGAAATTTAAGCTTTTTCCATGTCCAGATCCTTTGCTTAGAATCTTTGAACACATTAGAAGTAGAAAAATAGAATAACTTCCATCAGACTAAAGTAAAAAATAGTTTTGAGATTCCTTGTTCCCAGCCTGACCTGAGCAATTAAAATCTAACCAAAGTCACTTTGAAGTTACTGACCTGCAAAAAGGCCGACATTAGACTGGCGGGACTCAAAGGGACATCGGGCCTGTCCAACCACCTCCTCGCCTTCCTGCTCCAGCGTTGACATCTTTAACAGAAAGAAAGCTTAATGAGAACATAAACCAAGTTTAAGGGCTGGAAGACTTAAAGCCAAACATATGCAAAGCATTGTCACATGACTGCAGTGCTGGTTACAAAAATCTAATATTACCTGCACATTAAATATCGAGAAAAAAATGTCAAAAAGTGCACCTAAACATGAAGGATGTTTACTAAATCAATATGTGGTAGTAAAAGGCAAAACATGCCCTATAAAGATTAGTTGTATTTGATGCATTATATGTGGGTCGTTTCCATAAAACAGTGCGTGAAGGTCCCGCTGCTCAGGCAGACAGGACACTTTATCTCCTAGCCGCAGATATTAAGCTGCTATTTTCCAACCTGTTGTTAACAAGGCTGTAAACCTCAGGAACGACAAAGCATGAAGCCCAGCGGCGTGTAGATGTTTGGGTGCTTTAAGAGCTGAGCGAACGTAGAGCAGGTTTAAAGCCCTTTGTAGCAGTAAGGTGACAGAAAAATACACAAGCAGCACATTAATAGGCCATTAACACGTTGGCTTGGTTTGCATCACGCTAATCTGATCAACACATCACAGTAATTACTGCTGTATTGTCATTCTGTCCTGAAAATAAAATGATTAATTAATGCTTTACTGAATACAAAGGTTATGCTGTGTATTAAATGTTTATAAAATAAATACAGGTCTTGTGAATAATAGAAAACAAAATCAGGATGGGTGCTGATTTAATTTGATGTAAATGTTGTTTGATTTGTTAAAATAGGATTTAAAACCACTGGATTTGTGTTTTATTATTATAAGTAATTGAAATTGGTTTAATGCAAACTAGTTTTTCTGCATTAACCTCAAAAGTGAGCATCTGCCATCTATGCTTATATTCATATGTATATCTGAAAAACAGAGAAAACAGCTGAAACAACATCGTCTCTTTCATTTCTTTAAGAATTCCAACTGAGTTCGAGTTGTTTCCGAGATGAAAAACATACACTATTTCCAATTTTATTGTATTCTGCTCCACTGAAGCATCAAAGGGGGACTTTGATTGGATTTGTGGAGCTTTTCACTAAACATGTTTGATAGATGCAGAAAAGAAACAAAATGTATCGCACAGATTTTGGTAATGCTTAAATCCAATGTTGAGGCTGTAGGAACAGAAATATGTAAATTTCTTTAAAGCTACTAACAACCAAAGCAATATCTGGTTTGTCTGAGCAAAGCTGCTTTACTGAAGACAGCAGAGGTCAAGGAACCGGTGAGTAAATGTTTCAATCTAATCCTTCAAACAATCTCTAGTTGAGAGTTACACTAATATAAAAAGATATTGTATCACATTTTGATATACCTTTTTGGAATTTTATATGGGAGACCAACATTAACCAAATTAGTGAATAGTTATGATGTAAGAGAAAAAAAGCTATATGTAGTTTCCTAAGTTGTTTAAAAATAAGAATGTTTATGTCATTAAGTCTTATATTGGACATCCACAACATTAAACAACAAACTCGAGCAACATTTAGAAAGTAAGAGTAAACAAAGATGACAGAAAGGATAACGAGCAAAAAAACTACCATTTAAAATACGGAGGCCTTCATGGTACAAAACAAATTCCTCAACGTCTACATCACCTACTAGTCGAAAGAAGCAGAGGTTTGTTTACATTAATGATTTTATAAATAGTATTTTATTAGTCGGTGTAGGATCTAAACTGTTTATAGGCCTAACTTGCTAAAGTACAATTCGAGCATAATGGTGATCTCTAAAGTTTGATCTCTAAAGCTCTGAGACGTCATAACACAAAGATTTCTGTCTCCCTAAATGCAATACCTCCTCCTGTGTAATTATAAATAGCAATAAATGGCAATAAATTACATGCTTACATATAATCTATTACATTTCTGTCAGTAAATCCCTATAGATATTACATACCCTAACTTTCAGAGAGAAAATTACTTGTTCCTGAAACAAAAAATATCTGCACTATTCCAGCTTTTCAACAGCTCAGAGTTTAAATAATAAAAATAAACTCAGGAATAAGAACTGATAGTTCTGCACATTTGTGAAGAGACTGCAGGGTCAATAGCTCCAGCTCAGAGGAGAACAGACGGTTTAACACTTTAAGATTTTGTTTTATCATTAATGCATGCTGACGACAGCCTTCCTGCCGTCTACACACCAGCTGTCTCAGCAGCCTGGGCAGTGAAGCAGCCTTTTCATAGACAGGCATCCAATCATGTCTTTCACAACCACACACATCTGATTCAATGCTCCACTGTCACGCACATATTTTTGTAGGCACAGATTCCTTGTTATGATTTATATTTCTTCCCACTTTCTCCAGCTGTCTGAACTGTCGTCTCTCCGTCTCCGTGTTCAGATGAGAGAAACAGACTAGGGGTGCGAGGCGAGAGGATGTTTTGGTAAAACTGTATCTCAACCTCTCTTTTCTTAAAGGGAGTCTGTGGCAGGAGGATGATAACGTTTGAATATAGGTCGAAGCGCAGCCCTATAAACATTTTACATCAGCTTCTCTGCAGGACCGCTGGCACAGCTGTACCACTTTGATTTTGGAGAACATTCAGGTAATGTTAGCCTGTGGAGAAGCTCTGCTTATTTTATAATCCCTTGGACTGCTTTAGGAATCGGATCAACACTATGTAATGCCGATACTATGAGGTCAAAAACAAGGTAGAAAAAGTGAATTAAAACCAAAATGTTTAGAAAGTTTAAAGGTTGAACTTTTTATTTTTAAACCTAAGGAAGAAGATGATACTGAAGAAAGAGAAAGGTTAAATAAGGGTCAAAACTTAGTAGCAGATTATTCACATGATATGCTGTGAGACGAGTTGAAAGAACCCCATTCAGAAGAAGAGGTTTTTTTTTTTTTTTTTTCCCCAAAGCAGATCCAGAGCTAAAGGGGTCTGGCACTATGTCTGGGTCTTACTGAGGTCTATAAAAACAGCTAAGAACTGGAGAGGTTTTCAGTGAACAGCCGGCCAGCTTAGAGCTGCATCATTACTTCATCAAAAACGTCTTTTAATCTTCCCTCCCATGTGTTATGAAAACTTTCTGTACACACATCACTTCATTTTAATTGATCATTTCTCTATATTATAAACCAAGTTAATAAACACTGTCCTAAACAATCTTTGGCATTTCTGAAGACACTTTGTAGTCTCAGAAAACATTTCTGACCTCTGGGATCAGTATTTCAGTAAAATACTGGAAGCCTGGGCCACAGTACAAACTGTTTAAAAAAGGGTTTCATGTTTACAAATGAGTTTGCAAACTGTGTTTAGATTAAGCCATAAAAAGTGACCCTAAAGATGTGTCTGTGGAGTGCCGATCCATAAACCACAAGAGGTGTGATATTTACGCTCCAGGACCCGAGGAGGGTTATATGCTGCACACAAAGGACAGTTGTCCCAAAAAGATAGAGGTGCCTCAATATAGCTTTCTTATTTCTGATATGACATTTATCCAAAATGATATCAGCAAAGTCATCATACTATCACCTCTGTTGTATTGTGGAATGTTTGGTGAAATAAAGTGACATTAGTGAAGCAAAGAACAGATTTGACAACAACCAACCTTTTTATTAATATCCAATGGGTTGCATAAACTTTAAACTTATACATTAACGTTAAAAAATTGAACTGAATAAATCTATTTAGACCGGAAACATGTGCATTAAGATTTTGCACTCTAAAAAAAGTGTATTTCTGGACTTTAACCAAAAGTACAGCCACCCTGCCCAACATAGCTCCGACTCAAGTGGCAGTCTGCTTCCCTGTTCAACAGAAGTGTACAGTAGTTGTGATCAAGCTGGCTCTGCGTGCAAAATACCAGAGCTGCTGGATAGAAATAATGGAGCGGACTAAATGATGGAGGGGAATACTGGAGCAGAGTGATTGTATCAATGGGTTATATTAAAGGTTTTAGATGCAGGCTGATATAAGATATTTTTTGGGTGATAAGGGACCAATTTCCAAAATCAGGTTGAAACACTGCGAAAAATAAGTTATTTCTGGATATGTTTCAGCTTTGTCATAAGTTTATTCATCTAACTGCTTTTTAAAAGTGCACTTTTGAGTTTAAATATTTTTCTTTTTTAATTAACAAAATTATTCATTCAGTGGCAGGCACTAGTATTTGTAGGGATGTAGGGTTACTGCAGTATGGTGTGGATGAACCAATCGACCCTATATAAATAAAATTTGGTGTTTTTCTGGATAAAATATGTAGATACGCCATAAATAAAAAAAAAGAAGTTAAAAAATCTAAATTAAGAAAGCATGGTTTCTGATTAACACAAAAAAGAACAAATTGTTAATTTTTTTGTTTCTATTATTTCTTTAGCACTGCTGCAACCCATTTGGATCCCAAGCATCCCAAGTGAAATATTTGCTGGGAGAAAAACAAAGGGTTAAAAGAGCCAGAACATGACATATGCAGTATCACATTAATGGTAAAGCTCAGTAGCATTACAGTATTTGACTTAAATAAGCCAATAAAAAACTAGTAAGGGAGTTTTTTATGGATTTCATTTTGAACTCCATAAATATGTCTCAGACTGAAGAAAACAGTTTTTTCCCTTTGCATTGGCAAAGCAAATGTGCAAAGATGGAAACGGTGTTACAGTGCCAGAGTCAGTACTTATGTCAGAGGAAAACCAAAGATGCGGAGCCAAATGTGTGCTGCAGCTTAGAAACCTTCAAAGAGGCACAATGGCAGCTGCTTACCAGGCCTACATATTTACATAAAACCATCAGAGATTTGAAACATCAGAATTGTCTTAATAGGTGCAATGCTGCATTCCCCCCCCCCCAAAAAAAAAAAAAAAAAAAAAAAAACATTTTAGATGAGGTGCAAGTGTTTACTTGAAGAAGAGCTGAGCAAATATGTGAGGGAGACCATTTATCAGGAAAAGGCTCTGATCCATCCTTCAGGCTGTCATTCAATTTGGGGCATTTGTTTCAACCAATGTCATTTACTCCATAACTTAAGCATTTACTGCTCTGTTGTCTCAGAGCCAACCTAAAGGCACACATTTCTTTATTTACTTGAACACAGCCTGTGTGCTTGATAGCTCAAGGAGATTGCTGTGAGCCATACTCAGATTAATACATAATACTTGGAGACAAAACGTCAAAAGATCAAGATGGAAGATAAAACAAAGGAATCTTCATCACTCTTGCAGACAAAAGTTTTAGACTGAAACTCAAAGGCATGGATTTGAACATTCTTGAGAATGATAAGATTCTTTATATAAAATATTTTTTCTAAATGTAATGCCACTGGTTTTCTTTTACCAGATCTGATAGGAAATGTCGATTATATTTCAAAATAGGACAATTGTATGTAAAGATGTTATACTCAGAGATTATTATTGGACTATTTATATTAAGATAGCAAAAGAGAATACACAAGAAGGGGTATGTCTAATATTTAAGAAAAATAAAGACAGAAACTCATACATATTAGGTAAGGACATAGTTGTACATGAAAATCCCAAATCAGTACATTGTTCAATTATGAAGTTCATTGTTTAAGATTGAGTCGGTGTAATTACATTGGGGGTTTAAATACTTTTCTTTTTAAGTAAAAAAAAATGTTTTTCAAAAACAACTTCTGCAACAACAAATATACAGAAGATTTACTGCATATTTTTGGAAACAATACTTTACAGCTGTACATAAATAATATTTATTTCAGTACCTTAGATTTGAGTACCAAAAACAAAACAAAAAGCTAGAGTGGCACACTGAGAAAAATAAAAAGGGAAGGAAATAAAAACAAACAAACCTGGGCTATACTTTAATTCATTTTGATGCTTTCAGCTTGATCTCAGTTTAATACCAAGCTTGGAGAAATCGATTTAAGTGTCTCCAATAGTAGCTTAGATAGCTTTAGAGGTTTGTCCCATTCGCCAGCATTTCATTTCTAGTTGATCAAAACGTATATACATTAGTACCCACAAAACACACTTTTGTACATTGTACAAAAGTACTTCATCAATGTTAATCCGTTTTCTCCTTTCCTTGTTTCAATATTGGATATACTGTAAGTTATGATTTGTTTTACCTGTGCTTTATTTTCTCATGAGCCCTATTTCTTTAGTGTAAACTACTGTAGGAGCAGATTAAAGGAGGTTTCCTTAAGGTGTCAGGTAGGAACTAAATGTCCCAAATGTGGGCTTCGATCATTGCTTTGTTGAATTGTTGGTTGTGCCAAGCTTAAAAATGTCTTACCCAAACATTTTCGTAGAGCAACTTCCTCAATATTGGGCACCATGAAAATATATGTTCATACTCCTAGTTTCTCCTGACAGATACTGTCATAGCAATTAGCTTTTCCACCTTTACAATCCCCTATAAAGTTTTACAATTGAATATTATTGTATCAATTAAACGGTTTCTTCTAACAGACCTTTCATCTTTCTAGTTAGTCTAATTGAAACCCAGGAGGAAGCTGCGATTCTCATCACCTCAAAACTTTTAATCAGGAGGAGTAAAATTCCACATTAGGAGTTTTTCTGCAGTGTTTTTTTTTGTTTTGTTACCAGACTCCTCTGCACTGTCAGATTTACTGTCCTGTGGGACTTTTACTCCCTTCTCCTCTAATGCTCCAACAGGAATTTTTGGATTTCACTTGACAAAAATCAAACTGTAAAAGTTTTAGCTAAGGGAACTGATGTACTATAGAGACCTTCAAAAACTAAAGCAAAATGACTTAATTTAACAAGCAGCACCTGCAATTATTGCAGGCATGATGCCTGGTAAATCAAGGCGAGGTGAAGCTGCTGGAATAACTTTCTGTTTTCTCCCTCTCCTTCCTTTTTCAGCCTCTATTTTGTCAGAGCTTTAAACCAAAGCAGCCATCAGCATACAATGTGTTCTGTAAACAGATTGCTTCTCCCCAATTCGTGTTGAGCCAACATATTTTTCACCGACATAAAATGCAAAACGTCAGCCGATCAAGGATGACCACCCACAGTGAGCATTACGTGCTCAGTGTTAAACAGCTAAAAACATCTGAAGAACATTTTGAACAAATCTGATTATATCTGATGCTTCATATATGCCAAGAGGAAAATCTGCAGGTGTCATCAAAAGGAACCACTTCTCTTAATACTTACAATTCTTTCAGGAAATCCTTTATATCTGTTTATTTAAATGTGTCCCATCAGTGTTAGTTCACAGCTGAAGTGCTGACTGACAGACTTTCTCTCTAGTTGACAAATTCTGCGTGAACCTTGAGACGACCTCACTTCATAGTTGTTTCTATGTGTGTTTTTTCCACAGTTTTCTTTTTAACATTGTTTTGGTTTCTCAAACTATTAGAAGGTTCTCTGTGGGAAAATGTTCAAACTGTTTCATCTGGTTATAGCAAAACAACTGCTATACTGAGGGAAAAAACAAAACGTGGCTCCTTTTTGAGCTTGAACATGTCCTTATAAACACATGTTATTTATCCATAGACATCCGTTAGGCAGCTTTTGTATTGAAAGATCCTAATCTCCCGGTCGCCTGCAGTTGGATTGGACTAAATTTCTGTTACAGTGGCTGTGTGAACGATGAATAGCGACGAGATAATTAATCTAAAGCCTTGTTTACACTACCCTTTCGAAATCGTGCTGAGAACGGTCCAAGCATGCTATCTGACATAAATGTTGAGTATAAATGGAATGCAACTGAAGTGACCGCGCCAAACAGAACCGAACCTTGCTAAATCTAGTACTAGTTCAACAGTAGGGCTCGGCACGATTAATCTGTGGCTCGGTTCTCTGATAAAGAGCACATGAGCAGACCTGGTCGTCTCCTGTTTACAGTCAGCTGACCTTTTTTTTTACGGGTTTTGCTGTGTGTCCAGCTTTGCATTTCACAGATCTCTTCACCTGTTCACAACACAAACTTCTCAGCCTATTAACAATAAATGGCCTCAAAGAGCGTGGTGCCTAGGATGATGACAAGGCTCTTGAAATTTGGGAGGAGGTCCTTATGCAGGCACAACACTTCCTGAATGTTATGGCTGCCACTATTTTTGTTTGCACGACTCCCGCCTTGAGAGCTGTAGTAATGTGGACCGCCGATAGGAGATGAGGAATTATGCTAGCATAAAATGGTGTGTAAAGGGTTCAAGCTCTGTCCGAACTCGGCACAGATCGGGTTCAAAGGGGTAGTGTAAATGGTGCATAATTATGTTTGATAACTTCACAGTACATACACGTATAGATCCCAGCAGGAAGATGCCCATTGAGGCCGAAGATTGCTCGAATATCAAACCTGCACAATTTGCACGAAGATACAGTCTCTCAGGGATATTTAGTCACACCGACTTCCGTCTTCATAACAAATGTTGAAAGGGGGATGTGACCTATGCCACAAAAGCAGTCTACACCTTTGTAGTTTTGTGTGGCAGGGTTACTGCCACCCTCCATAGCTTCTTAGTGCCTGTGAAGGTGATACAGCCCCCAAGGCCATGACAGAAGTGTATTCAACTAGTGTAATCACAAAAGTTATGCAAATATTTTATGAAGGTTGAGAAGTTATTTAGTGTTGGTTTAAAAAAAAAAAACCCTACATCAGTCTATCCCTAATCTGAATACATCACAGTTTTAATATTGGGATACCTGCTTAACAGCAACAGCTAAACAGCTATTGGATTCTTCTAATCTGTCAAAAATAGCTTGTTTTCCATTTACCAAAGCAGCCTGATCGACATCAGATTTAGTGCTAACAATTCTCTTCACTGTGGATTTTCAATCCTTGCTGCCCATTGTAGCATCAGTCAAGCCAAATGTAGTAAATATGTTTACAATATTTTTCTTTATACTAGTTTGATTTTTAAATCTATACATTTTGGGTCTTTTCTGCAGTTGAAACTCACACTATTACCCAATGGTGTTGTAGAAATATTGAATATATGTTGTTAAAAAGGAAATGCATCCCTTTGCAGGATTTGTTCACTTTGAAATATAAAACTAAGACTTAGCATATCATTTTATTGCGTCTTGATTTACAGAAAATCTATCTCTGACCTGAAAACAAAGGTTTTATCATGGATAATTTTATTTTCCCAGGAAGGGATGGTGACACTAATGTGCAAAAGTGTGCCGTTTCCTTTTAAAGAAAAAAAACAAACAAGTATGGCGAAACAGAGAGCATGTAAGGACTCAGCCACAGAGTCTCATTATAGCCCTAAAATGATCCCTTATCTGTAACTGAGGCCAGCAGCCAGCACACAGCGGTGCAGTAACCTACCTTATAGTTACGGCAGGTGGGATTGAAGGCGTTGGTGCCACAGGCAAACAGAGTCTCATCGTTGCGTGGCACCAGCACTTTAATGTAGTTGTAACATTCATCCTGTCAGGAGGGAGAGAGTTTGGTGTTACTGCAAAGCAACAATAAAACCAAATGAGGAGTTTTAGCAGGTTTGCTGCGAGACACAAACAGCTTCTCTGGTTTATAGTTATTATTCTAATCCGTTGAGAGATTTCCTAAGCATGCCTTAGTGCAAACCCTCTCTGTACTGATAAAAAAAACAGGTATAGGCCAAGGCAGGCTGCAGGAGAAATAACACCAAGCACAGTAGCAGAGAGATGAGAGCATATTTCTCTGAAGGATGATACTCACGCTGTTCTTCCCTCTCACGGTGCACTTCGCCACATCCTTCGTCTTCCAAGTAAGTTTCTGGAAAACAACAAGAGAGCCAACTGTCAGCACAAAGACAAGACTTTTCCTGCCATCTTGGCTTCCGTCGCTCCCAGTCATTCAAGTGCCATTACGAGACCGCTGTGATAAAAATCTCATTAATTTCAATAAAGCTGTTGTGGAGAAAAACAAACAGCAAAGTATCAGGGACCCCTGCAGCGCTTGAGCGGCTCATCAGTGGGCAGCCAAACACTGTGGCTCCTCAGAGATAAAAATCACTCTGGGATAAAAGCGGATCTATGAGGCTGCACACACAAGAGAAACAAAAGAGCACAAAAAGGAAGCTCAGATCATTTCACTGCCTATATGAAGAGAAGTCAATTAATCCCAATTAACCTTCTGGCCGAAAGAAATTAAATATAAAAAATAAAAGCCTTGCTTCCATCTGGAGAGATGAAAACAAGTCTCACTTTCTGCATCCCAGGCTTGTACCTGCTGAGCTGGGACAAAAAAAGACTCAGCTACTTGTTAACAAGCTTTGCCAGGCGAAGAATTAATGCGTTCCTCCTCACTGTCGACTAATTTACGGATAAAATTCTCCCAAACCTTCTCTATACCTCTGAGAATTCGAGCAGTCTGTGTCAATTAAGCTCAGTTTCTGCCAACATATCACAACAAAATATGATCAGGCAGGAGTTTGATGTCTTCCTCAGTGACATGATGGCGTATGTTGGAACAGCCTTGGAGCATTAGCAGCCATTTTCAGTCTACAAGTTAAGACTTGCTAAAGCCTCTCAAGCTCAGCTTTCACACTTTAATATTCCTGAACTTTTTCCTGAGATAAATCTAAATCAGTTTTCTTGTAATCAGTTCAAATGTGTTATGGGTAATTATCCTCCAGGTATTATGCAACTTCACATCTATGATTAATTATTTTTTCATCAGTGTATTTGCTGTCAGTGTAGTTGTCCAAAAGTTCAATTAATCAGCCTTTGTGTTCCCTGTCAAAAAAAAATTTAAAATAAAAACACATAATTCATCAGATTAAATGACTTATAGGTATTTTTTTTTATCATTCACAAATTTATAATTAATTTAGCCTTTTACTTGTCACAAGATTATCTTGATCAATAATGAAATGTCCCCTTTAATAAATAAATCTATAATACATAATTTTATTGCTTGTGGTTCTTGTCCCTTATTTGCTTCTGTAAAGCTGTTTTTAATATAACAGAATATGACCCCTGAAACCAACATAAGTAAATTGCTCTAAAAGGCAATTTAGAAGGAACCAAACCAATATAAAAATCTGGTCCACCATTACCAGGTAGAAGCAGGCTGTTTACTCAAAGATTATCTTGCATCCTGCTCTGAAAGCCTTCAGCCTTTAAATGAAATAATAGACTGAGATCTGATGGACATTTTGATTGGGTATTTTCTGCAGTAAGTTAATGTATTCCAGGATTCAAAGCGATAAACAGAACTGCTGCTAACAGATGTTGAAGCGCCATTTATATCCCATCTGGGAGATATTATTATTATGCTCTCCTTTACTTAAGATGAATAAATAAAAATATGAGATGTTAAACAGGCCTGTTGCCATGTTTCTTGATTATTCAGCCCTTTAGGAGGGAGCAGCTCACAGGTTAGGTTTGGCTTCAGCTCTGGTGTCTACAGACGTTTGAGAATAAAGACAATGAACTGAAATGACTGCCTCTTAGCAATTAAAAAAAAGGTGGTTGTATTAAAGCAACAGCCAGGAGGACAGTTATGGAAACTCATGCATGAATTGTTGAGAGTAAAATCTCAACAATTACCTGCAGGCTAGACCACTACTTGTATTTGATCCATGTTAACACAGAAAAACCTAATTCTCATACATATGTAGTTGTTAACGGAATGAGTATTTGATGCATTTTTTTTGAAGAGGTGGAGGAACTCTGTCTCCACAAACAGCAAAAGGCTAAATGTTGGAGAAATGTTTGTATGTACTTTTCTGTTTTTATTTATTTTCCACATGTCACTGCCCCCTTAGGGGGTGGCAGAGCTCTTTAGGCCCAACAAATTGGAAAACCCTCGTAACCACCCTTGACGTCTCCATTAACACCCCATCCCTCTCCCCAGATCAGAGACACGGTTCTAGTTTTCTATTAATAACACTATTGATTTATTTATTTTATTAATCTTCCGAAATCCTAAATTTAACCTTGATGAGATGAATTTGTTTCTATCTATGAAACGGAAATGTCAACAAATTTGTATTTCAGGAAAGTGCTCACCTTAGATTTGCTAATTTTATCAGCAGCAAATTTGGAAGAAAACAGTTGACGCAAGATTTCCTAAAAAGTAGCCAATCACAAGTAGTTTACTAAATGTAAGATGTTATATACTTAAAGTGTAACCAAAATATTGCCATAAGTGCACAGAAACAGGTCCAGACACAAGTAGGAATGAATCTAAAGGCACATAAAAAGCAAGCCACGAGTGCAGAGAAGAAGGATGCAATGTGAAACATTGGGCAGCTTATAATATCACATCTGCAAGCACAGATGTGAACATGGAGAGTAGTTTACATGCGTGTGTTTTAAATAAAACTTCTCGTATCAGTATTTATCAAGCATGTGCATTTTTGGTAGAATTCTTACTTCATAAAATAAAGAATGCAAAAGCAAAACTAAATGCAAGTTTTAGGTCTGGTTCCAGATTGATAGAAAAAAACAAACAACAAAAAACGGGTAAAATTGTACATCTCTAAGATCCTTCACTTCGAGTTAATATCTGTTGAAGCAAAAAACATGAGAAAGGCGCACAGCAAACTATCTTTTCTTATAGTACCTCTGGCACAACCTTTTGAAGAACTGACACACATCAGTAGAAGTCAGCATTATGGTAATAATCTGGTTCTCCTCTAAGCCTGATTTGGTTTACTAATAAAAAAGGTAGAGCCACTCAAGTCAGGGGAGATCAATGGAAGGGAGACTGTGAATGAACGCCTGGTGTGAAAAATGAAGAGGCGGTAAAAATGAGCTTGCATAAAAGGAATGGATCTGTGATGAGGACACACCATTTTCTAGTGGTATGAGTCAGTCACACACTAATGATCTAGCTGAGATGGATAACAGAAAGAAGGGAGAATGAGAAGGAGAATATGGGAACAGGCTTTATAATTTTCCACTCAGTTGCCGCTGTTATACAGGAGGATGGAGAAGTTTGAGTGAATGAATAAAAAATGCATAATGTTAAAACATTCAATATTGAGCTTCTCATATAGGAGCCGAACACAGTGGTGCTTGCAAGTTCCCATTTCATTGTGAAACAGCCTTTATCCAAATCAGCAGCGCAGATCTACTTGACATCAAGTAGTGCCCTTATCAAAACAAATATTCATGTTTGAGGCTAATCTAAATACAGGCAAACAAAAAGTTTAGACCTGAGAGAGCCTTTATTTAAGTGCAATCATGTCTGACAAATGAGATTCAGATAGGGGAGAACAAGGGAACAAAAGCACAATTTCATCTGGGGTCGACGCATGTCTGGAGAACGATTGCTTAATACACGGATGAAAAAAGGAGGCAAAAGGGTAGAAAATAATCACTAACAAACATTACAAAGGCTTGTTTCTGTTTGTTTTTGGAAACGGTGTACTTCAGAAAGAAATAAAAAAAAGTCATGAATGTCTTATGTCTAAATTCTGGAGATTTCTGGTGTTATCTTCAACAAAATCCTTCTTGATAATATTTAGTTAAGACATTATCAGGAAAATGTTCAACTGAGATACTATTATTATCATTGAATATAGTGATGACAGTATCAACATCATCAACCGACTTATCCCTTCTTTTCCATCCTAACAGTTGCTCCACTATTTTCTAAGGATTTTAGCATCTCAGTCACAAAGGAATATAGATCTATGAGAATCAATGCTGGGTTGGATCCCTGCAACTGCTTAATAATGTTATGGGCACTTAGATTTTGAATTCAGGGCATCTGAACTACAGCATCCTCCTAAAATGGTATTAAAGAAATCATTGGCAATCACAAAACAGCAAACCCTGATAATGGAATGACAGTTGTTATTTATTAAAATGTGCCGATCTAAAGCTGTGCAGCTACATTTTGCTAAACCTGTTTATTTTCATAAGGGAAGCTTGAAAAACAGCTTTGTGGGCTGCATGAGTGATGTGGGTTTTTGCGATATATGACCTGTTCTGGACACTCTGACAAGCTATAAAAAAAAAAAAAAATAGATTAAAAAAAAATAAAACCTCTGAAACATCACTCATAGCCAAGCTTCAAAGTGAAGTATTGGTGTAGTGATTGACTCTGCACAAAGTTTGATACATCTTCGCACTTTGGGCGACAGCATCCGCTGACCCCGCACTGTTGCTTTACGTGGCCTACCACTTCATAGCTGAGCTGCATTTGTTTCCAAACATTTCCATTTTAGGAGCTAGGAATTCCCTGAGCTTCTGAGTGTAACCCATTCTATCACAAATGAAACAACAGTCTGGATGCCTACTTGCTTGATTTTCTACACCTGTGGCCATTGAAGTTATTGGAACACCTGATTCAATAATTTGGATGGGTGAGCAAATACTTTTGGCAATACAGTGTATATAAACCAAGAGAGAGATATTTTCAATCATCTCAGTGGAAAGATTTTCTTACCTGCTGCGGGATGATCTGCTCAGACGAGGTGCCGAGATTGATTGCAAAAACATGGTCCCTGCAAGAGACAGAGGGTTAGGACAGAGACAGGATCATCTCCTCAAGCTTCTATTAACTCTGTAAGCCTTTTGAATACAAACTTCAATAATATTTTTATCTAAGCAGTCCAACCAAAAAAACAAGAAAAAAAAAACAAAAGCTTTGATTTCACTCAGAGAAATTGATCCCAGCCGTACAGAAAAAAAAAAAAAAAAAAAAAAAACGCCTGGAAGATGAAAATAAAGTTTGTTGGATTTCTGGCATTAAATCCTTATGAAAGTTTTTCCTCAACTATTGACAAAACCCACATGATTTACTAAGTGAAATGAGGCACACAGTGCGTTGCATGCAGCTGTGGAAAATATTAAGCCAATTTAGGTATATCATGGCTCTCTATACCTCTGTAGATGGATTTCTTGGCAAGCAGGAACTGCAGTTTGGGATGGAGCCAAAAACTGAAGCAGAACTTGTTTTTGCAAAAAGGAGAAGGTAGAGCATTGTACGTTTTAGATAATTACCCAAAGAAATTGTATTGGGGAAGAATGGAGTTAGGAAAGGTTTTATTAGGAGGAGATGCCATAGAAACATCCATTAGGCTCATTAAAAACTTTAAACCCTTTAAATAACAGTAAGTTTCTGTTTTTAAGCCCCTTAAAGGCAGTTTGATAATTTATCAAATTTGATTTTCTCTTTTCCACTTTAGGAATTTGCCTAATTATTTGAATTATTAAAATATAAATTAAGAAGTTAACTGTACAAAACCCTATTTAAACTGTGCTGTTCGAAGGATTATGCACCAACATTATTCGCCATAAATCCACCCAAGTTTAGAGCAAAGACCTGTTAAAAGGTGTTAGACCTATGTAATGTTTCTGTGTCGATAATCAAAGTGAAACAAGTTTTAACTATAAATAAAAACTTAGATTTTCAAAACAGTTATAAAAAACATCAGCTGGGTGGCCAAATACATAAGCCAGAGAGTTTTCTTTTAGGTATGTTTAGGTGAAAGTGCTTTGCTCCCCTATGCTAGTGTGGACGCCCAACAAACTAAAGAAAAACAAAAGATCACTATGTTTATCACTATTAAAATCAGTTTAAAAGTGTTATTATATAATGATGGAAAAATTTTTAAAGAAGTATTACCCCAGAAAGTATAATAGAAATAAGAAAAGTAAAACAACGTTGGTTTAATTTCTACGTTTTTTTCCCCACAATATCTGTTGACTTTTTTTCTTCTTTTTTTTTTACAAAAATAAAATAAACTCTTGTTTTATAATAAACAGATTTTCTTTTTTGCTATTCATCTCAATCTACACATATGGAGACATTTTGCATGTGACCAATTATGTAAAAGGTATGTTAAGAGCAAAAATTTTAGTAAAAGTTACCCTACTAAGTGATTGAATGTAATGATTCTTCAGACACTTTAGGAATATTTACTCATCTTAAACTTTATAGTGTTTTAAATTATCACCATTTCCCCTAAACTCTTTCTTTTAAAGAGTCCTATTCAGATGTAGTAGTTGTAGATATACTGTACCTCAACCAGGTAACTTGATATGACCCCCCCAATTTAAATTCTTACATGTTGTGCTTCTAATTACATTAGAAATTTGCAAGTTTAAATTCTTGGTTGATAAATCAATACATTAACCAATGTTATTAAAACTTTGATCAAATGTGATAAAATCGTGTAAAAATATAAGTTGTCTCCCTGTACTAACGCACATAATCAAAGTTGACTGTAGATCCGCTTACATATCGAACCGATTGATTTGTAAGAAAGATATCAAATAAATTAATGATTTCCTTGACATGGCCATGAACTAAAAATATGTATTTAGCATAAAAAAATAATATAGAGGCACAACCTAGCACTATTTTACAAGCACTACTTTACAAGTTTCTATGCCAGAAGCTGACTGGCAGCATAATAAAGGCTGTCCAATGAAATTATGATGCTGTGCCGGCTTCCTATATTTTATTTCTGTATTTCACACTTTATTTTGCCATGTTTGTGAAAATATTTTATGTATTTAGTGGAACAAAACCATGTGACGAAAGCAAGCAATGCCCAACAGAATCATGAAAAGAAAGAGTAAAGCTCAAGATCAAGAGTGGAACAGTGCAAAAAAAAAAAAAAAAATGTATGCCAAGAGGGATAAGAGTGAGATCAGATGTTGGAGTTCAGTTAAGTAGGAACAAAAGGTGAAGATGTGTGAGTAAAAACTGCCAGCAGATGGCAACTGGGTACAATGTATGTCTGCTGACTCAGCCCTGCACACAAATTGTTTTTGGGCTGAAAAAGGACTAAGTAAACACTATGTAGATGAACACTAGTGGTACATTGCTTCATACGAACATGAACATATGATTCTAGTTTTGGATCCCCCTTCTACCATGATCCTGGTACAACTGACCAAGTTTGGTCATTTTCAATTCTTTTTTTTTACCTTAAACAGGGGATATTTTTTAAAAAGGTTAATCAGTAGCAAGAACTGATTAATTAGGAAACTGCGCTGCACTTTAGAAGCCATCATTGGTTTGGTCACTTCAGAAAACCAGAACATAGAGGTAATATAAAAAGATTTTACTTCAAACAAATGAAAACATTATTGGATCTATAACTAAGTTAGGACTAACCTAGCTGCAATGTAAAGCATGTGGTTGATCCTCAGCATCCTCTGGAAGTCCAGGCCCAGGCGGATGGTGTCATTGTCTGACATGAGCCCCTGGAAGCTGGGGTAGAGGTACGAGGCTGCAGGGTTCACAACAAGGAGAGAAGGAAATGTTTTAGAATATATTTCAACCAAGTCTGAAAAATATGTACATTTAAATGTTTTGTCGAAGTTTACAGTTAAAAAGTTCAAGACATACCATTAATAGGGCTTTGTAAAAGCTGTAAAAAACTATCCTCTCATGTTCTGAGAGGTTTGAAGTTCTTTATAAGTATCACTTTCATGCAGCTGTGCAACATTTATCCACATTATTATTTGCAGGTTTAAATACCCGACTCAAGGTTAGAATCTAAAATATTCTACTTATAAAATCAAGCATTAAGTCTATGCTAATGTGCACTTGTAGAGGTGGATAAGCAAGCAAAAAAAAAAAAAAAAAAAAGACATCCCAAGTTGCAAATTAGGGACTCATGTCACCAAAGTCAATCTGATTTAAATAAATGGCTTCTGGTAAGTGATTCTGAACAGACTCGTCTGGGGAGTATGCCAAGTAGAGACAAGGCAACAAAATAAAATCATTTCAATGGAGAGACTGTCTGTCTGGGTCAACCCACATTAAAATAGCAATCATCTGTTCGGAGGTCACAGGAGTTCAATTTGGTGACGTCACCAGTGCTATATAAATGGTTTAACCTTGCAAAAAACATTTTGAATCTATAGATACCAAAAGAAAAAAGTACACTGCAGTTTGGGAGGAATAAGGTGCATTGTGGCATAAAAAGAAAGAAAAATCTGAATGTGCTGTTGCACAAAAATTGCAAGATAAGATGAGGCCGGTGAGATGGAGCGAATAGAAAGAGTGATACATCAGCTCCATATTCCATTAAAGTAGATTTTCATTTCTATCTTTCTCTTCAGCTGAATGTAAATTCCTTTTTCCCTTCCGACTCTTCTTAAGAAGCATATTAACTCACTGGACGCTTTAACAATGATTGATGGTGTCCAGAAGTTTAAATGACAAGATGACATTCTGTCAGTAGATTGACGTCCCTTGAAAGTACTCGGCATAAAAAAACTAACCAAAATAAAAATTAGTCAGCTTCAACACTGACACCAAGACATCATCTATATCAGTGACTTTCTCTGCTACTAAGCACAGATTTAACTCTGCTAAAAAATGCTGATGATGTATCGATAAAGCCAGCATTCAGTGCTTTCCTGGCTGCTTTCTTACATGACAAAGATTGTCTACTAAAAAAGAATGTAAATACCTGAAATAGCGTCTTTACAGAGAGCAAAGAGCCTCCTTAACCAATCATGTTGACAAACAATCTTAAAGCCCAAAGTTTGTTTAAATGCTGAATATGTTGTCTAATGAACGGCCTAATTTACTTCCTAACAAATTAGGTTATATCATTATTTTCACAGGGATTTCAAGGTATCTTAGCATGAGGAAAAAGTTGGAAGCAAATCAAAGACCATTTTTAGATGGGAAACCAATATTCATAACCTTATGGGGCCGTTTGACCCAAAATTGCTTCTGCACATTACAATAAGCAAAAGTAACATCTTGTTGTCTAGTTTGAATATCGCATTCAACAGCAACCAACATCAATTAGGTTCAAACCTTCTAATACAACGGATATCTAAAGTGAATGTTTGTCATGGAATGTGTTGTTTTCTTTTAGTTAAAATCAGTAAATTTAAATGAAATTGATCCTGAACACATTTTCTACATTTTTATTATTTAAATGGTAAAGGAAGTGATAAATAAAACTCTGGAACAAATTCCAAAACCTCCAAGGCGCAAGAGACAGTGAAAAGTTCTTTTTCACTTGAAGTACATGGAACCAAATTTATTAAAAGGCCACGTTTTGACTGGTGGCCTTCATTAGCATTATTATAAATAACCACACTACCAATACCACCCCTTTTACTCTAATTAGTCAAATAATTAAATTCTTCTCCACTTTTACTTTTTCTATAAACACAACTTGTGGTGATTTATCACTTTGGCCTGTCAATTCTTTTCAACTCCTTCATGGTTAAAGATTTTACCTAATGAGTAAGATAAAAGGATCAAAGCCTCCCACAGACTCTGTGTACTGTACATAAATGTCTTATATTTCATAGATTAGTGTACCACTTCCCTACATCACTGTTTCTACATTCCCCTTCAGCCATGCCACCATTTTAACGGGAAGAGGAGCTAATTTGCCGAGTGGCTTTGGAAAGAAAAAAGAAGGCTTATAAGCCCACCACACGCCTGTCTGCAACACAGAGTGGGGCATTGACACTATGTGTCCTCACGCCTGGTTATTCACAGCAGTTTGTTGCTGCCAGCTGTCACCTGGCCACATCAACTGTGTTTCAAAGTGAAAGTAATGCTATAATTTATACTTTGAATAATTCAGATAATAGTAATTTAAAATCTTGCACCATTTATTCGTATGCACATGCACTACCCATAACGGAAGTGACACACTAACTAAAGAGCCACTGGAATCAAAAATTTTGTTGTGTTTCTAGGGGACCAACTGATCAGGATTTTACCTTGCTTTGCGCTGGTCATGGGAAATGCTGTCTTCCG